TTTAATCTTCCAAATAACTTCCGAAAAGTTTTCGGAATGATATAATAATCATTAGTCGACGAATTAGTTTGTTCACATGTGTGCAATAAAAAAAAAAGAATAGAAGATTTTGATGAGATAGAAAAAATAGTTATATTGGACTAGCAGCTGAAGTCTGTCACTCGGCGGCTCAATAAATAAAATGTTGATTCCTTCTAGTCGCAAACAAGTCCATTTGCATTGATCTAATTCGAGAGAAATGGAACTCGAACGGCCGTATCAGATCATCGTTAAAATTTGACTTACTTCCAAGCTATGTAGCAGCTTGTAAACCGGTAGGCAATATTGAATACGATATCTTAGTCATTGGATTTTTCTCGGATTTTTACGAGTGCACCGAGACAAGTCAAGTGCATATTTTTGCCGCGGTCAGTCTAATCGGTTATCATTAATAAACTGGTTCGCGCGCACCGACGATTGCCAAGTGGAATGAGATGACATGGAACACTGACCGGTTGACTCTGTTTTACAAATAGAAGCTGCTCGAGACGTACGATAGGCGATCGGTGTCGCCGCTCGGTTGTATTAGGAAGAGCGACCATTAACGACTCCTCGATATCGTTTGATAACGCGTGTGGCGACTGGCCGCCGCGACATTTGCATATCTGTTATACGACGGCGCGACGTGTACATCACCGCCGGATTGCCTCGGGAGTCGCAAACAAATCTCCGACTAGAGAAACGTATAATACCTACGCTTTATAATCGAAATCGGTTATAACTGTATTCCAAGTGTCACGCCGAGTATATTTTCATATCTGATTGGGCGACGGGTAGTGTGTCCACTCACCGACCGAAGCTTGATTATCGCGCGAGTGGCGATGCAGGAAACCGGATATACCGTGGAAATAAAGGGCGTGCTCGCGGCGATTATCCTCGCCATCGTGTATATTTGCCGTATCAAGTGTACCTCGTATAGAAGAAATACCAGAAATCCATTGCGATATTTGCACCGTTTCGCAATCATAGTCTCGAGACTATAGATTCTTAATAGGTACCTATATAATCACATACATGCTTTAAAGTAAATGTTATTTTATATTTATATTTGAAAAAACTTGCTTCATATTTATATTTTATATCTTTTCTCTCTTTCTCTCCAAACAAAACATTATGAAATGTATTCATCACTCACTGCAAGATTCGTTAATCATTTTGCTTTTCAATGAAATATTAATAAGCGTATGTGTGATTTTAGGAAGAAGATTGATATTTTTTATTTTAACGAGTAAGAATTAAACAAAAGCTTAGAAAACCTGTATTTCGAAGACGAGACTAATAATCCAGGAAATTAATTTAAGGTAGGATTAATGTCCTACTTTTCAAACTTCGGGATGAGTTTATCGGGACCTAATTTTGTTCAGATTTTTTTAACGTGTATTCGCATTCCAATCGTTTAACTAATGTTAACAAGTATGCCAATAATGTTTCTTGTACGATCTGCGTCCCAAATCGAAGCCTACCTGACATATCGATCTTTTAATGTCACGCGCTAACGGTATATCTCGTATCTCCCTGTTTGAAGCGCTATCGCACTTGCGGGGATAGAATTGTATTTTTATTCAAAAATATCGCGTAAAACAAGAAATATATTATCCGTCAACTCCAGGAGGCTTATACTTAATTATTGCAGATTGATTATTTGCAAGTCTGTGTCGGCAAAAAGCGATCGAGAAATCTTTATATATAACCGCGTGTATTTATTTATTCTCTTATTAACTGATAAATATTTCATTCTCTCGTTAAGTGAAACAGTTTATTTTGCCACGCTATATCGTTTCGCGTGTATCTCTTGCAAAATAAAGTACTGCAGCACTCGAAGTTACGTATAGGCAGTAATTCAAAAAAGTCGCAAAAATCTAAGCTGATCCTACATTAATCCTGTCCGCAGCGCGAAGATCACGACAGCATCTGGAACGGATGTTCCATGTTCTCGAGAATATCGACGCGGCGCGATCTATCAACTTTTTCCCTTCAACGTCGTCATTGTAAGGCGTCGTCAACCGAATAATCAATGGAATTTCCTTAATTAATATCGGCACACTTCCACACTACCGTTCACTGACTTTATTCCAGCTCGACTTTCATCTCTCGCAGACGTTTCTTTGCCGCAACTGCACCGACGCAAATCTCATTCTGCTCGACGACAACGATGGCGACACGAAGAATGTCATAATGGTCCTCAATTGGATCCAATCTATTATTTTTTTTAAATACTTACAGAAATTATATACGTTGTTCGCTTTCTCTCTCTTTAAATGCTTTATAAAACTAATCGATAGGCCAATACGCCAATTGACGGAAATAATCGTGTATCAAGGCATTCTGATCTTTGCCTCGAATGAAGTAGTTTCGATATCAGTAAGTAAAGTTCGATATACGAGCAGGCAGTTATAATATTAAAATAACGTACGTATAACGTTGAATTGAGTCATATTTCAATCCGGGAACAAAATTTTGTAACGTTTATTTAATTAACACTCGGTCGAGTCATACTCTTCGCTTGAACGAAGTGTGTGTTTTATTCGTAATGAACAAACACAAAGACACGTGCAGAAACGATGACAAATTGCAAAAGCATTCCTCGACGATCGTAAAGGTTTCTACGAGGTTTCTACTGCACGCCGTGTAACCTGATTAGCATTCGCCCTTGGTCATTACCCTTAATAAAACTTGTACCGACTGTACTCGTAACACTCGTAAAGAAACTTTTGCCACGTGGAAACGAAAGAAGGTGAAGGATGAACAGATCATCAACCGCGATCAAGCGCATCGATTGTTTCCCTTTGAAGCAACATGCAGCTATTCACGTTTATATAAACTTACATATACAGTCTACGTACAATAATTCTAAAAATGTTTGTTTGCAAAGTAAATAAATAGTGAATTCGGGCGCTTGCACTAGTGCACACTGAGTGCGCACTAAGGCTTGTTCTTAATTAATTGTTATATTTACAGATCATCTCAAATACTTCTTAGTCTGTAAAATAATTTGTACAGCATCCATATAGATCCATATACAGATTGTTTTAGTCGCTAAAAAGTTTTTAAATGTGTATTTAAATGACTTTAAATAGTTTAAATATAAGAATAGATTATAAACAAGCCTTCAGTGCGCACTAGTGCAAGCGCCCGAATTCGCTAGAAGACAACGAAAATTAAGCAAAAATTTAAGTAATTATTAGTATGACATAACACGCAAATTGTAACAGAAAAACTAAGTACATAATATTAATTGAGTTCCATATATATTATGCAATTTAAGCGACACTCCTTAACACTAACAAAGTTTATTTATTTATGCTCTTCTCTCTTCCCCCCCTTTGTCTCTCTTTCTCTCTCTATTTGCAAGGTGAGAGAAGTTATCCTTCAAATTACGAAGCCATTAATCGTTCATTACGTCCTTGCAATCAACGATTGCACACGCGACTTATGTACGTAAGTTCAAGCCCTACTAACTGAGTTCTGAAAAGCGAGATTTCCGTCCTTGTTCAGAATGTTCAGAATGCGCTATTGAAGAGTTTCAAGGTTGTTTCTGTAACGGAGAACTACTTACTACTTACGTATAGCACCTACTGAGAAGTTCGTCGAGCCAAGTTTCCCAAACTCGGCCAAATTCAGTAACACTATACTATTCATAAACTCATTTGCTGGTCATTAAACCGGTCATTAAACTTTAACCTTCAACAAAATTTTTTTTTAATCCCATCATATTTAAGGAGATTTGCGTGGCTATTGTAAATGATTATACGTAACATTAATTATAATTTTCCTTGCAAGTTTTGCAGCTCAACAGCATATATTTTCGCGACGATTTATCAATATAACTTCATCAATTTCACTTATTTAATATTTTATCAGAATAAATAAATAAGTGCATTAGATGTTTCCCGAATCAAAATCAATCAAACTTATCGCGTAATTAAACTGAAGAATTATATCTTGATATCCTTGTCTAATTTAATATACTTATGATGAATTTACAATATTTAATTGATATTTTTAATATGACATTTATATAAGGAAATAAAGATTAAATAATCGGTATACTTTGCCAAATATTCCGAGACAAGTTAAGTACGTACAATTGTAGACGGAAACGTAGAATTCTTGGAACGTTCAAAATAAATTACATTGTTAACAGTTCTTGCAATATCACGACATTTACAAATGACCACAATTCTGCACTTACCATAACAGATTTCTCAAAGTGCTCATTTGTGACATGCGTCAGATTCGTCGTAACGTTTCTTACCGACAAATCGAAATCGTCAAGCGCACTAATGAGGAAGTATCCCCTTGTTATTCAAATCGACTGAATTAGTAATATCCAGAGCTTAAACTCAGAGTTTAAGATCTACATTTTCTTTCACGCTTTCTTATTATTCTATCTTTTATTTTAATTGATGCATGGATTTGCTCGTTATCGTATTTGATCGTTAAGCTTACATAGTACAAGTTACCTCCGAAATTCATAATAATACAAAAGATATTATTTAAAAAATATTTACAAGACATATAATTATAGAGAAAACGAAAGAGAAGAAAGAAAAAAGGAGAGAGAGAGAGAAGGAAAAAAACGAAAAAGAAATAAATTTTTTTCACAGAGGTTTTTTTCTTCGAAAATGTCTTATAGTGTATACTGCGAATATTTCTTCAAACGTGTCTTTCATTATATGATCTCAAAGATACAAATCCAAAAAATGGTCTGTCTTGCCCAAAAAATCATACCTTCTTTGTGTCTATTTGCCTTTTCTTTTGGGCTGCGAAATAATGGACACACTGAGTACATTTTCCTCAGATTTTCATGGTAATTCGACCATACTGGGGAAATATTCTCGCAAGGGAAACGCGGGAACTTGCATGCGAGAGAGAGACAGAGTGAGGGAAAGAGAGGACGCGGCATGGAGGGAGAGGACGTTTAAATACAAGCAGAAGCGCGCGCGCTACTTCAGTCCGACGCTAACAGTCCAAACTGATTGGTATCTGGATCTCGGAGGAAGGCAACAACCTCCCTCTACGATCTCTTCTTTTCTCTTCGATTTTCTTCGGAAAAGGATCGTCGAATAGATAACGGAAAAATCGCGAGAAGAACGAGGAAAACGTAGCGTGGCCACGAGAAATTTCCGGTTGACGTCCCGGAAACGATCGCGGCTCTCCCGGCTAAATTAAAAGCCGGGACGAAAGGAAGAGATACGGGGCGGAAAGAAAGAGTGTGTAGTTATGTGCTAGTGAGAATCGAGAAAGAACGTACCCCAACCAGGCATAGAGAACTCGAGTCGCGATGACCAACAGCATGAAGCAAACAGTTATTAAGTGAGTTACCGCAATAATTATCAGATACAGCAATAACTATCCTTTACGAGAGTATTTATTCCTCGTACCTCGTACATTTTTTTCACTCGAAGTGCAACTATCTCTAGTTTCAAACTAACATGATGAAATTTTCATGACGCACTGACATGGAAAACTATTCTACTAACTATGTTACAGTTAAAGAAATCGAATGCAGATAATGCTGTTTTCGTAGAGATTAACTTCTTCATAGAAAATGATGATAGAAAAATGACTTTTATGAGATATCGCTTCGCATTATTTGCTGAATTGTACAATTTATATCGACATTTAAAATGCAATTTATCATTTAACAGAAAAGATAAAACAATATTAATAGTATTATATGAATAATAATAGTTGAAGTTGCAGAAACTTTTGGCTGTTCTGCATCAGAATAGATAAAGCTTTTGCAACAATTGTCGTTGCGTGATATTCATGTATTTTTTACTGCATATTGATTCGTTTACTGCATATTTATGTCTTTTGACTGCATTTGACTGCATTTTAACCATTTATTGCATATTTATGTTTCTTTTACTACATATTGATTCGTTCACGTATATCTATAAATCCTTGAAACAATTTATAATTTTTGTTTCACAAAATGTTACAACGCTAATAAATCTTTATTTTTTAAGTGATTACAAAGTTTTTCATGAATTAAATTTGAAGCGCAAGTAGATAACAAAAAGTTCTTTCTTATTATATTCGAGATGAACTTTGTCCTTTTTTTTACGCAAACTTCCAGCGGGGATAACTTTTTAACTTTTATCTATAAATGGAAAACTTTTATACATTTACATAGAAAAGACACGTGTCTGGCAGTCGTAAACGGCTGACGCGCTACTCATACCGAAACACCTTTTACGATCTTTTTTCCTTTTATCATTGTGTATTAGTAAAGTTTTACCATGGACTACGTGCCCGTGGCTTATGCAACGTTGTTAAAAACTGGTCGTTCAATGAAACTTGGTGAAATAAATGGGAATGGAAGAGTATTTCATAAGAGATGAAAGCGTTCTTAAGCCCCTGATAACGAATCGCAATTATTATGCGAATTATATTATTGATCGATATCGGGGATTCTCTCTTATCGTTAGGTGTGTTTCACTCTTCTGTAGTACAATGTCTTAAATAAGAAAGTAAAATAATTTCACGAAAAATATAGCGATACTTTTATGGCAAAATACATGTCTTACGCTTACAGACATTGACACAATTTTATATCGAATGTGATCTAAATCCGAGCTTCAACTTTATTTATCCAATATGCAAATCGATTCGATATAAAATGAGTCTAAACGTCCAGTTCAAACGTATCGCTAAGTTCAATTTAAAGGTATTGATGCTATGCAGTGTACAATACAGATACTCGCAGACGAATCGTTTTCACGTTGCTCCGATCATATCATGATGATTATGTAAGACATTGTTTTGCAATTACAAGCTTTGCGATGTGTAAATGTGGCTGACACGAGATCTGTCGACATCTCACATCTCGCTCTACTCCAATTTGTTATCATGATTTATAGATCAAGATACCAACGTATTATCCATATTTCATATCTTTTTGTAAGATAGTTCTACAATTCTTGTTTTTTTAGTAATCTATGAAATTGATTAGATAGCGTAGTAGAATTTCTATTATACGAATACCGTTTATTTGAACGTTCGATTATCCAAACACGTCATTTAGAAAATGAAAGTAAACATTCGAGTTGAGACTAGCAGCTCAGAATAATTGGAAAAATAGAATCGACGATGAAAAAGGCTGTTAAGTTATTGCGTTGTTACATTTGTAACTACTGAATAAATGAACTTTCTTTAAGACATACTCGTCCGATTATCTGAACATCTTTTCGCTCGATTATAGCTTGAATAATAAATTCTACTATATATTAACGGAATAATCTAATATTATTTATTATGTTTAATAAATCAGATATTGCAATTAATGTGAGTTAAAAAACAATGAGTTATTGTCAAATCAAGGCAATCACTCAAGAATCATGATAATATTTTAATCAATCTAATTAGTTTTAAATTATAATAAAATCGATGCAAACACGCAGTTATATAATAAGTTACTTTTGCTTTCGAGCTAAATTACACGTCCCATCTTACTAAATAAATTTCTAGTAGACTGGCATCCGCATCGGATCTGGAGCATCATAACGTTTATCGGTTACCGAGGCAAATCGCGATATCGACACGAACGAGTCTATTAAGGCTGCGGTTCAGCTATGCAGATGAAAGAACGTGACATTTTAGCGCAACGAGAAATCTCGCGATTTCAATGCACGCGCAGGGACAGCCAGTGATAAAACGTACCAGGCGTTGATGTTACGCTGAGAACCGGCCGGCCATTGCGCCGCACAGACAAAAAAGAGCGGTCGAGTTGTAAAAAAAATCCTCTTCTTCGAAAAAGTATCAGCCTTAGCCGGGATTCAGTTACGTTAATAAATATTCATATAATTATGTATCATGCTATTTTCCTCGACAATCTTGACCTTGCACTTGACTGTAAAGGATATGTCATAAAACTCAGCAAAATTATTCCTTAACAAGTTGTGGTGTAAGGGTGTGCCCGGTGTGCCTCGTGTGGAAAGAGACCGTTTATTGCACGAGTATACAGAAAAACGCCATGACTCGTAAAATTAAAATCGCGTAACAAATTGCAACTTTTATTTGCGGGCACAAAAACTTTTTTTATGATTTGCGCGCAGTTGCAATTTGCACGTAGCACATGGCGAATGAACTTATGTTTAACTTCAACATTGTAGTCATCAAATGCAATTATACATCATAATGCATCATCATATCCTCATCTTTACGATAATCATGTTCGACGTGCTCTTGAGCGCTGCTTAGCGATCTTTAACTCTGCAGTCGTCTACGTATAAAGTCTATTGGCACAGTTGGCAGTTCAAATTACAGTCATGCTACACTACATAATAACACTAACGTAATCTACTCATTAGTAATTTATTTGAAAAAAAAAACAAAGAAAATTATACTATAATTTACATGTAATTATATATGTATAATTAAAATGATACGATCATTTTATATTTATATGTAATTGGAATGAAGAATGTTGCACGTTTGTATCTGGTCTGATTGTAAATATAATTGAAATATTTTTAAAATGGATGCGGGATGTGATCATGATACGGATACGGAAGTAATTTAATGTTGAGAGAGAAAAAAAGACAACGTGTCATGCAATAAAACGCGTATAGTGGCAAAATCGAACCAAATTCATGAGCTCATGAGTTATATGTGTATGATTGGTTCGCACGAGGTGAAAGTCTCTTACGAGATACGGCGAACATTGGAAATGTTTACGGCTCATGGTGCAAGTTTACAAACGCTTGTATCGAGTTATTATGATGTTACGAGAGCCGCGCCATCGCGACGCAATATGTATGTAAAATTCGCGCGATCCCATTTAACTTCCTGGTCGGATAAACCGACTTTCGGATAAATCGATTTCACGAAAGTGTAAACTTAACCATGGATTTTGTCCGCGGCACGTAATTATACGAATATTTTGTGCATATAAGTGTACCTAAATGCACGCAATTCGCTGCAATAGTATAAGGTATATTTAAAATTTGTTAAATGTAAATTACGCGCTATTATAAACATGGCTTGCGTAAAATTACTTTAAAGAGATGATAAAATTATAGGGGTATAGTATTTTGTAGTATTATACGTATCTCCACGCATACGCTTATCACTCGTTATGTATTACTTATGCAAAAAAGTAAAAAAAAAAAAAAAAGATTATGCTTAGCTTAGAAAAAGCATCATGTGATAGAGATAAATCCTCGAGGCTGTTTATCTGCTCTACTTAACATAATGATAACTGGATGTATTTACATTTCTTTGACCTGCATATTTATCCCCGAAACTTCGACGGAAGTTTTGATAAAAGATCTAAGTTTCTCTTCCAACGTATAGCAGACATTGTTCCCTGAATTTTAATGTACTTATTGCTTCAACCAAGTAGTGTACTTTTTTTACGTATTAGAAAGTCTAACTATCAGATTTTCTAACAGACAAGAAAAGAGCAAACGAAATTTTATTCACGTTGAGTGATGATTCAGTCATGTCCTCTTGCGAAAGAATCTCGTGAAAGAATCAACTCGTGTATAAGAATCGCTGACTGAACGATATTTTCACGTGGCCCAGAATTACTAATATAGTGACATAACACGACTTATAAAATAATTGGTAACTCATATTTTTTAAACAAATTAATATAACAAATTTATAAATCCTATAAATTTCTCCCTATTTCCATATAAATATTAAATCACATATTTATTATAAGTACCTATATGTATTCGAATTTTTTGTATTCGAAATATTGTAGATTATTTTATTAGAAATTCTAAGATTTACACTACGAAAAAATTGTTACAGTAGGTTACATACACATCACGTTATTGATAAACGTAAATAGAACACTTAGATGTTAATTTTCGGAACACACATCGACCATCAACGTCGCGGCGTCGTAACAGTTGCCGTGTATCGAGTTTCATAAGAGATACGTGTCCGGAAAATCGTGACTTTTACCAGCATTCCTTCAGATTTCGTAAAATAAGTCAGGCGCGGTCGAATTTATATTCCAAACGTGTCCAGAGAATCCGTCACATTCGCGATGGCCCACCAACAACGAGAATCGGAATTATAAATTTCACGGGCTTAAAGGAGGTCTTCCTCTCTTACCTTGCGATTTACGCGAGTCGTGAATCGCCAAAGGTCGGCTGAAAGACGAAAAAGTCACGCTAATCCCCACGCCAACTGCCATAATTTGATAATTGGTAGTAAATTGAGAGTAAGCCCGGTTCAGCTTAAACGCGACCTTCTCCGATGCGAAAATCTGCCGTTACGCCGTCGTCATCGTCCTCGTCGTTAACGTTGTCCCGCGCCCACTCAAACTGGCCCCTAGTCGACCTCGTTGTCGTACAACGGGAATATCGAAAACACGCGAAAGCTCATGACACTTGTCGTCCATCAAAAGTACACCTCACCTGCTGTCCCGTTAAAAAAATTTGCACACACGATACTCGCATACACGAATTTTTTAAGTCAATTTTAAAAGCGCTTCTCCCAACACTTTACGTCGAAAATAACATGCTGATACGATAAATGTGAAATTTTTTTCAATCATTCACTTCATTGAATTATGACAATTGGCATACGATTGACTCGAGAAAACCATACGTGTACTTATTACTGAAAAAAAAAACACGATTTAAATTTATACAAATTTATATAGAAATATTTTGAATTAGGGTATAACTTTCTTAATTATCTTATTGTTACTTTCATTATATGTGTCATATTTATTGGTTTTTATTTTAATCATACAAAAGTGCGTTTCTGTAAGCGGTATTGCGTGTTAAATCAGACAACACTATTATACTATAATTTTGAGTTAATGAACAATTAAAAGTAGTTGATTTTTTACCAAAGTGTAATATCAAGGTGTATTGCTGCGTTTCCTGGCGTAGAACCTGAAGAATATCTAACATGAAGCATATCTAAGCGACGCATTGGTGGGGATTGATTATCGCGTGCATTATAATACTCGCGGAGTCCGGCAATGTGCTATCGTGTAATTTACGAGAATTGGAAAATGTACCGTCATCAGAACTGCCCACGAGGAGTCGTGCGATGTCGCGAGTGTGAACGGAGTGTGAACGGAGCCAAGGAATGAGACGCGAATGCATAAAAAGATAGATCAATGAACTATAGCGTACGATCAGTCATTTAAAACGGAGTCGTAAAGATAATAAGGCCACGATACTGAAAATACAACGCGTTGGCCAAGATACTGAGAAATGAACGTTCATAGAGGCCGAAGGACTCGGAGATTACGAGAAAATCATGCACAAACAGAAATTTGAGCAACCAATAACTGTTTCAAATAATAAGAACTCTACCGATAATTTTCAATAAACTACTTATAACAGAGAATAACACATATTGTTACAATTGTAACGAAAGATTAACGCACCTTTATCTTATTTTCTTGTTAATACTAATCAAAACATTTACTGCGATAATTATGAATCTATAGTGTTAAAAATTTCTCAAAGAGAATACTGAAGAAAGATGCAAATCATCAAAAAATTATGTCGACTAATTCAATATAAGTATCGGAAAAATATCGGCCGTCAATTCTGTCGTTGATATTGATTAATATTTAGCAGCGTCGTGTTCTCATTTCTAAGAAAGGAATAATTATTTATACGATTGTAGAGAGGTAAACGCGGACGCATCTATTGTGACTCACTTCCATTCCGGAATTAACGTTGCGACGTTGCGTCAAGCGACACAATGTGACGGCACGGTATTCTAACGTATAGAGGGAAGAGGGTCAGGAAGACGATTAAGAGGCGCCAGGTCACGGCACGTGAAGGCGATGTCACGCGCGTCTTTCTCGCGCTCGTGCGTCTCTTCATTACGATGCAGCTCGCGCTGCTTTGCCTTTCAGCCGGTCCTGCGGCGACACAGTTTCGCGGTCGCGGTACTCCGCCGCGTCGGGGCACACCAGGGCACACCAGGCCGTCACGTGCGCCGGTGAACGTATCCGCGAGGACATAGCGCGCTCGATGGAGGGCAACGGGGTGTTCCGATAACACCTATACCTATACCACGCGAATCGATTTTCCATGCGACGTGAGGCGTGACGCCGATTACGCGAGCAACGGGAATGGAAGTTTTAACAGGCACAACTTTGCTACGGGATTATCTTCTCGTTTTCCAGGAAATTCAAAAATTACACTCGGCGGTAATATTGTTCAAATTATATAAATCATAAATCGTGATACGATCGTGAAATAATCTTACATAAAAAAACCGACTTTATCTAAAAATTCTAACTTGGAAATCTCAACAAATAAATTTTTTACTGAACATGTTTTGTCCCTTTTCTTATATAAATACGTGAATTAATCAAGAGGAAACTTATATAAGTTGAAAATTCAACCTCATTCTTCACTTCGTGCCACGATTACACGATTACATGAGTATGCAACATCAAAGTTTATCACAGGATCGCTAAAAGTATATTCATTCTCACGTTCAATTATGTCGTCAGGTGATGCTGTTTGCAAAAGTGCACGTGTCAACGTGTCTGAGAAAATAATTATATCCTGTATCATAATGACTTTGACATTGCATCCATTAATCATCACTTTTATCTCTATATGATATTATTGAAACCGGAATTTATCGTAATAGATCTGTAAATTTTGTATAAAGAAATGTGAAAAGTAAAGTTAGAGAAACGTTATCAAACGATTTAATGAACACCATTAATCGGAAAACGCATATATCTACCCTTCAAATATTGATGCAAATTATTGCATTGCACGTGTATTACTTTTTCTTATTGACATGGTCGTGATTGCATACGTACACATGTCAAGTCTTAGGTCATTAAACTCGTAAACTAAAATATTCCACAACGCGAATATTGCTATCAACTCAATTGCGATACAGATACGATCTTATATGTACGTAAATTTCGCATATAGTCGCCTCGTCGATCAATCCATCGCGATACGACGATGAGGCTTGATTGCTTGGTTAGTGACGCGACAAATATGGAATACGGACCGCAATCTCTCGCCGAACCCCGGGGGTAAATACCGCAAAATCAGAGGATAATCATCCTCTAACCCTTTTCCACGACCTTCCGTCGTTGATACGTTGATGCACAGTTATTTAGAAGCTTGTAGTATAATAACGATATAGAGAATAATGAACCGATAGAAATTATCTACGGCCTTTTCTTTTTATTCAACGTAGCAGTAATATACTAATTTTTCTCACTTATTTCTGCGAGAGAGAGAGAGAGAGAGAGAGAGAAATGCCTAATTTTATACAGTATCTCAAAACAAATATCACGTATGAATAGCCAATTTTTTTTTCTTTAGCTATGTCATTAAATCATATAAATATTAAGTCCTGTTAAGGGCCTATTTTGTAACTCTTAACGACTGTTTCATTATTGTCATATTGTCGTTGCGCAGCTTTTTTATCATATATAATTGTATAATATCTGCGCAACGACAGTATAACGATAACGAAACAGTCGTTAAGAGTTATACAGAATAGGCCCTTTATTAAATTTATAAATTCGTTCGTATTGTCAGGGTCAAGACCGTGCATCAGATGTGGACGATACGCGGCATTGACTCCGATATTACGCAATGGGGGATACTTCGGCGTGTGTCGCTGCATCTCGATGAGGTCAATACACTCATCGTTGCATTACACGCGGTATGAGTTCCATTATGCGCTCTCTATCATCCTAAGTACACTCGATGTATTTACGCGCGCGTGCGCGGATACGTCGCGCATTGTCCGCGAGACAAAAATATGTGCGACAAGAATCCATAACTGCTATTATATATCGATTATTTCTTACGCAAGTGCAGTCAGTAATTGCACTTTCTGATTGCCCATATCAATGTTGATAAACTCTAGATGAACTTGATTTTTTTTTATTTATTGTGTTCATATACGGATATTATGATGTAGAGATGAGAGGGAAAGAGTCAATTAGCTAAGATCGCGAACGCGTAGTGAAGTAGAATAAACAATTGTGCGATAAGAACGATAAATTCAACGATAAATTATGACTTTTGATGTTCAAGGCAAATCGATTCTAATTAATTGCCGTCATCGGCAAAACTTACGTAACTTTTGTGGCGCCGTGAAGAAAACAGGAAAGTCTTAACCGTTAACATTATTGAATCTATAAAGATTAAAAAATACCTATATAATATATAGTACTATCGTTACGGAAACCTCCGTATTACTGAAATGTTGCAAAAATCTTGCAAAAATCTTGACGGTAACTCGATAAAGTAGCATTGCAAAATTTTCATATACACTCGATTTCAATCTGTTTGTATTCCTCAACGCGTTCTCGGACAAGGTCTCAGCCGATTATGCGAGAAACTTAATGCGCCACGATCTCGCAAGATGATCGTAAAAATAAAACACTGAAATGGCGCGCGGCTGGGACGAAGATAAAAATCCGACTGCGGTTTGCCTTTCGCTCGCTGCGCGAATTGTCCGCCGGTAATTCTCTCGGCGGATAGGAAAAGCAATCCATAAATTCCGACGTGCTTTAGATGCAAGTGGCATTTTACTGCGCGACGGCATTGAACGTATACGTACACGCAATATAAAAACATGGAGAATCGATTTTACGTGCGAAATCAATCTAAAATTAAAAAAAAGTACCTTTAAACATGTATAGAATAATATTCTATGCATAAAACAACTCTTATTATCACACAGCAAGAAAATGACTAATCTCTTTGTAATACCCTTATTTACATTATGTAAACGATATGTATAGTTTCTATGCACAGATATGTATAATATTTCTTCGTAATATGCATAAAGATGATAGTATATGGGATACAGTATTCGATAGCATAATACATTATTTATACATAGACTATACGTAGATGATCAGTATTGTTTCACGTGCGATTAAACTCGGAAACACAACACAGAAATAGCATAATTATTGTGAGGATTGCAGCCAGAGGATTTTGCAGTTTGTATTACAAAGCGTAGATACTATTCAAAGCAAATCGCGCCAATATCTTGTACGCGACTGTGGACACGTGCAGTGCAACGCTCAAATAATTGCATAATTCTTAATTTCTGTTAAAGCCAAGTTTATAGAATACGAGAAATAAGCAGATTCCCTTCCCTCAGTTTTACACGCAACAACGCGAAGAAATTATGATTTTTGCAGGCCAATACAAAAAGTATTCCGCGGAGAAAAGTGCGAAATTACCTTGTTATATTGATACTGATATTTTTTTTAATGGCTTTAGTCACATTCTTAGGGATAATGTAAATTTTAATTGTTTTATTTCTTTCACTTTATGATTTTCGTGCAGAAACCCGACATGGTGGAAGAGGCGGTCCGGTTTGGAACGCGGATTAACGGTGATAGCGGTTTCCGGGTTTCTCTTGTGCATCGCTTTGGCGGTCGCCCTCGGAATTTTGGCGGCTAACACGACATGCAACACCACATCCAAGACCGGTAAGAGCACTCACTTTTATAGCGCAACCTACAGTGCAACACGAGCCGTTCACCATGCAAATGCAAGCATTGTTTGAGAAGCACAGAAGCGAGACCAGCACTTTCCTCTTTTTAGAGATTTATGTTGAAGTCGTAAAAAACCTCACGCATGTGATAGCTTTGAACGGATTGCTTGGATCTTCTTTATCTCAAAATTGAATCATCAAAAAATACTGAATGTTAGTTTTTTTTATACGTTTTTATCTGGAAATGATGCACGGTAAGATGTACGGGATGAGTCACCAGGGAGAAACAGAAACAAGATACTTAAATATCTCTCTTGAGTTTACAAGTGGAAGAAAGAAACCTATAGGACGCGATTTACATGATTCTGAATGTCTCGAGGATTCTAAACATTCAATATAAATTAAATAATGTATTTTTCTGTTTTTCTCAAGATATTCATTTATTTTGCAGAATAAAACTGTAATCTTTAAACGAAGAAGATCTAAGCGTATGAATTTCGTATTTATGTTCTTTATTTGTGAAAGTATTTATGTTTTTTATTTGTGAAAGCCTATTACATTTCTACGTATGTAAGATCGGGTTTATCTTAATAAAGCCGCTTCCCTTTTGCTTTTAAGATTTTCTCAATTGTGTAAAATATGAAAAATATTAATATAACACTTCTTCTTTTACTTTAATGATGCTTTTGTAACGTCCAAGTTTTCGAAAAAAAAATCTCATTTTACCTATTCCTAATTTATGTATATCTATAAATCCGATCCCGCGCATGTAATAGCAAAGTATCATCCACCGACATCCCAAGACGTACATCAGTCTCGTGTTGCGACAAAGACATTACTTAACATCATCCAATTGCATTAATGCCTGAAGCGAAATTGCTAGTGACGAGAAAATCATAATTCCTCGCGACATGGCAATGGCAGACTTCTGTAATAGCTTACGCGGCACGGAACTTGCAACAAAAAATCTGAGGTTTAATCCTTTAAAGTTTAAACGACTATATTTTCAAATCCTGATCTAACGAAATACGAAAACTTTACGTAAAAAATTTCATACAAAATGACAAATTTCTGATGCTTTGAAACAGACAGAATTTTCATTCTCTTGTGTGTCTGTATTGTTGATAAGAGTTGATAAGAGAAGAGAGTCATTTACAAATTAAATGCTATTTGGAGGAAGAATATGTGAAACGCGTAGTAAAAGTTGCTAATAAAAAAGTTAAATTCACTTTTCGTATTGGGAAGATGTTAATGGAGATTTTAATGGAGGTACTTAAATTATACTGTTTTAATTGCCGTTAGAAGTATCGTCATGATTATTTTATCGGTACTTACAAATCCATGTATCGTTTTTCTTTTAAATTTCGAGAAAAGGATCCGCGCTTTTTAACGCAGCAACCGATGAATACATTTACGATCGAAGCCGCTCGGTAACGGTACGTACTCGCGTCGTAAAAAATTTTAACTGTGCGAAAGTAAGACGCGTAATTGCGGTGCGGTCGTCGTAAATTTTATTTCTACGTTGGCGCCTCGTACCATAGTGCTCCACCCGCTCATTAAACGGGTGAAAGAAAATTGCGCCACAAAAATGCTTCCGCATTGGGTTACAAGAAGCTCTATCATTTGATCGGCAACGTATATTTAATGTAACGACGCGTCTTAAACAAATTTGCGAGGAAGTCGGTAGCAGCCTAAAAAAAGTAACGGCGAAATTCATGACGTGCAGCTCGAAGTGACGTCAACGAGAGAGTGATTCTGACGCATTTTGATATTTCTAGTGAGTAAACGTTGTTTCTGAAAATTACTCATTCGCCGTGCGTGTGTGTTTGCGCTAATGTAACGAGCCGTTAAACGCGTAATCGCGCCGGTTTACGACGCGCACACCCCCCGTGATCTAATATTTTGATTGCGCGTCGATCTGGCGTTGAGCCTCGTTACTGACGCATTCGAGGTATTTTCGGAGAGTATTTAAAAAATCGACGGGAGTACACGAAACCTTAGTCAGCGCTCGGTGGTTTGACGTTGCCTTTTCCTATAACGTGAACATGTGTAGTGATTACAGGCGTCATATCCGACGAGAAATAATAATAGATGAATCAGCACGCGACGTTTACGAAATCGAGCGAGAGAATCGCAATTATAAATCTTGTTCCAATCTGCGAATATACTTAATAGAAAAATAAACTCTCGCGTTTAACGCGCGTTTTATGATAGAGATATTTTTAAAAAAGTTGAGAAGGTTGGAATAAATCGTTTATTCATATGCAACGTAATTCTTGCATCTGACTTAGAAAGCTGTTATACCGTTTTTTTTAAATGAAATATACATTTTCTAGGATTAATTTCTCCATATGTCATATCATTATATAAATGTATAGTATTGATTACAGATATAGATAGTTGAGCGAATTTTGTTAATACAAAAGAATTATATCTTCTTTTCAAGATATGTAGGACTTTTTTTTTTTTTTTTTAGAGAGAGAAAGAGAGTTCTACATTTTTGACAAAGTGGATTAATTATTTAATCATATATAAAAATATACACCACATCGCATGCTAGCAATTTGAAACGGAAATGATATCGTTGTATATGCAATTTAAGTCTTATCGCAGCTTGTGTGCCCCGATGCTTCGCGTCCATTAATTTGTCGCTGTTATGCATTTTTTTTCGCACCTGCAAACGCACCTGCATCCGCACGAGAACAGATACTGTTAACGAGATGCTACCATCCACAGCCGAGGCGTTAAGCGGTTCGGAATCATCAAAGAACATGATATCAAAGAAAACGAAATGCGACGATACATGTTTAACACCTGGATGCGTTCACACAGGTTAGTAGAAATATACGGTAAAAAACTTAAATTTTCTATCTATCTAAATATAATTTTTTCAGCAAGACTGAATATCGTAATTAATATTAATATATATTTTACTAAAAAGGAGTTTCAATGTATGTAATATCTATAATTTTATATTAACTTTAAAATATTAAATTCCAAATTAAGTTAAAACTTAAATAAATAATTTTAATTAAATTCCCTATCTTAATAAAAAATAAATAATTTTATTGTGTTCGGAAAAAAATAAATCATATAGTCAGTATTAAGATATCGTATCTTTTTCATTCGATAATCCGTATATTTTTCTTTTCGATATTATTTATTTCATATATAACACTTGGAAATTTTGCACACATAAAGCGAATACTTTTATCTTTATAAAAGTTACTTTCGGTAACAATATACGATATGTAATAATTGATTTAGAAAATATTTAGATACTGTTCAAAGATATTTCACCAAAAATAAACTCAGATATTCTATATCTTATATGTGATAAATTAAATCGTGCCACTCGAAGACTAACTATTAGAAATCACTTCTCATAGAGATATTGGATTGTACTAATCTGCTCAACATATACATATCACAGCCGCTAAAATACTGAAAAACATGGATCCTGATGTGGAGCCCTGTGATGACTTTTACAAATTCGCCTGCGGTGGCTTCCTCGAATCAACGAACATTCCTGACGATAAAACTAGCGTGAATACATTCTCTATTATCGTTGACAACCTCGAGGAACAACTACGATCCAGTATCGAGCAGGAGAGCCCTCCGAACGAGCCGAAACCATTTAAACTCGCCAAAGACTTCTACAAGGCCTGCATGAACAAAAGTAAGTAGCCGCGAGTGCCGCGACATGAAATTGAGAAATGCGACAGACCAATAAAATTCAATAAAATCATAACAAAATTTAACGAAATCCTGCCAAACTATATTGATCCTACATTTCTCTCGAAAAAAATATAATCTGTAATTGAGATACTTTTAATGCGTAATAAATTTACACAAAATAAATGCAATGCAGTTGTTCTCTCAAATTTATTCTATTTTTAAAAGCAATTATACCTATAAACGCCGTTGAAGAAAAGATAAAAAAATAAAAAAATTTTTTTTTATTTTATTCTTATTTCTGCTGTTTCTTTTAGCCGCTATCGAGGAGAAAGGCTTGACACCATTACTGAACAACCTAAGGAAACTCGGTGGCTGGCCCGTTCTGGACGGCGAGAGATGGAACGAGGGTGACTTTACGTGGAAAGATTCTGTCTACAGATTCCGCAGACTGGGCTATTCCGTTGATTACTTCATCGATTTCGGCGTCAGTGTCGACTTGAAGAACAACTCGAGACGTTTGCTCGACGTAAGCATGCACATAACAATTTATTGTAAATATGGGATTTAGAACAAACGCTGAATAAAGACCATAATTTATAAGTGTAAAATCATGTAAATGTAATATTAAATGGCGAGCAAAGTGATATAAATCATTATCTTTTCCTAAGCCAAATATATGACATTTGTCTCCAACCAATACACGCTAAATAAAAATTAATAATTTTTACAGCTTGATCAAGCAGCGCTCGGTCTCTCGCGTGAATATCTGTCAAAAGGCTTCAACGAGAAAATCGTTCAGGCATATTACAAATACATGGTGGACATCGCTGTAATTCTCGGTGCCGATCCAGACCGAGCCCGCAGAGAACTAAAAGAATCGCTTGAATTTGAAATCAAGCTCGCGAATGTAAGTTATCTTCAGTTGTTAATCGATATATGAGATAACTTTAAATAGAGCCTTGAGAAAAAACTTTTCCCCTCCACCCCAAAGTGTCAGTCGATTAAAGATTAAATATGCACGTAGATCTCCCTGCCCAATGAGAAACGACGCAACGTGACTCTCCTCTACAATCCCATGACTGTGAATGAGCTGTCCGCGGCCTATCCTAGCATACCGTGGTGGGAATACTTCAACACCATCCTCGCGCCGCAAGCACAACTAAGTCGGGACGAGATAGTAATCGTAAATGTGCCCAGCTATCTAAAGGACTTTGAACAACTGATCACCATGACGCCGAAGAGGGTGCAGGCAAACTATGCGTTTTGGAGAGCGGCTGCTGCGTCAGTCAGCTATTTGACGGATGACATCCGGAAGAGACAACTAAAATATACAGTGGAGTTAAACGGCAAGACAGAGAGAGAGCCGAGATGGAAAGAATGCGTGGATATCGTTTCCAGCAGCATGGCAATTAGCGTCGGCTCGATGTACGTGAGGAAGTACTTTAAGGAGGACGCGAAGAACACCGCGCTCGAAATGGTCGATGATATCAGGCAGGAGTTCACGAAGATTTTAAAGAAGGTAAAAGAGAGAATACACAAAAGCTTAAATTTAAAATTGTAAAGAAGATGAATATTGCGATCGATGCTTTGATTTTCTCTTTATCTAGGATTAGAATCTCTTAAAAATAAAAGTCTCTCTTTCATTCTTTCAGTATTTTTTTCTTTATCTGAAAATTACAACAAATTAGAATTAAAGGAACAAACTGAAAAAAATAAATCTCTTGTGTCAGATGTGTCTTTATCAATAAATTAGAATGTTAAAAAATGAAATTTTAGTTATCTATGCTTGATATGTTAAGGGATATATGTTGAAGATATTAATTCAAAAATCGCTATCATTATACATTTTGAAAGTTTTTAAGTTTTATAGATTACATGTATATTTTTAGGTGGACTGGATGGATGAGAAGACCAGAACAAACGCTTTAGAAAAAGCAGCCGGCATGACTTCCCATATTGCCTATCCAAATGAACTGTTGGACGACAGAAAGCTCGAGAAATTTTATGAAGGACTTGAGTTAAGTGCTGACGACTATATAGGAAGCATTTTTAACTTATCCATTTTTGGAACAAATTTCTCATTTGGTAGACTGAGAAAGCCAGTGAATAAGACGGAATGGATAAGTCATGGAAGGCCGGCTGTCGTCAATGCGTTTTACTCGTCGATCGAAAACAGTATTCGTAAGTATTTAAGCACGCAAACAATCCCATATAAATATATCAAAAAATAAATATCATTAGATTACTGTCTTTGTGAATTGAATAACTGATGTATCTATACTTCAATAATAAAATCCATAAAATTATATTAATTTGGCTCCTTATTCTTTTGGTATTTGTCGCTGTGTACTGATTTATTTATTTTTTCTTTTAGAATTCCCCGCGGGTATATTGCAAGGTGCATTCTTCAACAATGACCGGCCACGCTACATGAATTACGGTGCCATCGGATTTGTCATTGGCCATGAGATCACTCACGGTTTTGACGATCAAGGTAGACAATTTAACAAGGAAGGTAATCTCGTGGACTGGTGGGAGACAGAGACGAAAAAGCGTTATCTCAAGAGGGCCGAATGTATAATTCATCAGTATGGAAATTATACCGTGAAAGACGTTGGATTGAACGTAAGATAAATCTAACATACCTGTTTCAATATTTATTTTCTTGCTACGTGAAATTGTTTTCATATTTTTCGGCACGAAAGAATTTAATTATAAAGATATATAAAGATAAAATATGAAGAAACTTTAGCCGTGTTGTTTTGCAACTCGTAATTATTGGTTTTATCTTTTAAATGAAATATTTCTTAATAACAATTAAAAAAAACAAAGCCTCTATGAGGAAGCAATATGGTCATAATTACTATAATACCTTTCATTATAATGTATAATCTATTCGCTGTAAATAATAGATAAAAACGTTATTATTAACGTTTTAATCACCGCAAAAATAATTATCGTACGAGTCAATGTTTATTCATCGTGTTGCAATACTATATATAGAAATAAATAGAAATTAATTACAATAGAATGTTCATGTGCGATAGGAGTAACGACAGTGATAAAAGAAGATTCGTAATGTTCGCACAAAATTATAAAGTCAGCAAACTAGTTTAGTCAGAGAAATATGCAACATTTAAAAAATACGCTGCGTCTTTAAAATGTCTATACTTGTCGCAGTTCTACGCGAAAAAAAACACATATTAGAGAAATTAAAACGCACGAAACAATTTAATTGTCAGTAAAATTGTTGAGTTATTCATCCTACAATGTAATGAGTATAAATATAGCAATTAATATCACAGACAGTACACATGTCTAAAAGATGTCACAAAGATGTCTTTTAGACATCCGTGCTGTCTGGAGATAACACATAAATACCGCGAATGTTTCTACAATTGTTAATGTATGTGTGGAGCAAATTAACATTTTACGATATTTCCCCGTAAAAGCGGGCTAAATATCGAATTCTTTTGCATAATTTTATACAAAAATATTTCCTATATTGAAACTTTGTTGCAATATATTTTACATTTTTACAGTTGAACGGAATAAACACCCAGGGTGAGAACATCGCGGACAACGGTGGCATAAAGGAGGCCTATTACGCGTATAGAGAATGGGTCAAACGAAACAAGCCGGAGCAGAGACTGCCGGGTTTGCCGTTCAGCCCGGAACAGATGTTCTGGATAAGCGCGGCCAATTCTTGGTGCAGCAAGTATCGACCGGAAGCGATGAAGCTGCGAATTACGACAGGCTTCCACAGCCCGGGCGAATTCCGCGTCCGTGGACCGCTGTCGAATATGGAGGAGTTTTCGCGCGACTTTAATTGCCCGGTCGGCTCCAGGATGAACCCCGAGAAGAAATGCACCGTGTGGTAGAACTCAGGTGTCGGCGAAGTACACCGCGAACGACACTGACCGACTCCGTTTTTTTTAACCTTAGAAGTTACAATTTTGCATGCCTGTTACTTCGTTGAAACGATCAATTTTATTCTTAGCGGCTCAACACTAAAGAGACTTACAGCCGGAATGAATGCCTGATTTTCTGCTTCATAAGAGACAGGATTGGGTCTCGCGGCTACAAAACTGTTTTATCTTATTTATGAAATTAAGTGATTTATTTCTTTTTTTATTTCTACCATTTCCGAGTATTTATACTATACTATCGCTTCTGAGGTTAATAATGAATGCAATGGAGTCGTCGATCTCATACTAGCAGGATACGGAGGTAATGTGTTTCCCTCTTACAGTATCCTGCCGTACGACATTGCCGCAGCGGAAAAAAAGTATTTGTCAGTGACGCTGCTCGAAAGCAAGAACTGAAATTTCGCGATAATAACGAGCATGGAAATGGGGAGCGCTCTCCACTGGGAAATCCAGGGAGATCGACTCGACCCGCGCGATCTTAGACATGTTGGGATATACGCATACATTATGTATCATTTTGGTAAATTTTTATAAGGAGAAACATGTCGCGGGACGCGCGTCAAGTGTAAATAGAATGAAAATGAAAAAGGAAATTAATTGGTTAAACGGAGTTAAATTGCTTAACTGTTTTAAACGAGGCATTACTGATTCTTGTGCCAATGACAATGTTTGTCAAAGGTTTTAGATCATTACAGGGAAAATTAAGTTAAATTGTGCTCTAATGTAGTTTCTAGTTCGAGGATTTTCATTGTTGACACGTATGATAAAAAAATGTTGGCAGCTTTGTTAAGAATTCGCTTTTTATCCTTTTTTATTGTTGACGACTTTGTTAAGTCTCGCTTTTTAAAGTAAAAATTTTTAAGTATTCTGTTGACGCGGAGATGAATAATAATGGTGCACACTATATAGGATAATTCGCAAAATCAGCAACGAGAAAGAAACGTGAATAGAGCGGCATGAATATTCTTCGATAAATTTGATAGCTTTGTTTTTAATGAAGATATTGGAAGCTATCGTTTGTTGCAACTATTTTATGTTGAGTATTATTTTGTAGTATTATCAAGTAGCAATTAAATCGCAAGTTAAATTTACAGTAAAACGAAATCCACTTAATGTAATAATTAAACTACGCTAAAAAAAAATCAAGGTGTCCACAGTTTCTCCCTTGAAAGATTCACTGGGAGCATCGTGACGTCAAGTAGCATTAAAACGATTCGTAATTGTCATCTAAATTATCAGATGCAAAAAAAAATATACGATTCTCAATATTCTTAGGACCTACATCTCGTATATATAGTCGTACATTTATCGGTGTGTCTGCGAATTCCGATAATTTAGTGCGATAATTTTTATTCTTTGTCGATCGTAAGATTGTTAGTCGTAGAGAATTAAAAGATTACTTAGAACAACTTGTTACAAGTATTAAGCGTAGCTATTTAATCGCGAGCGATTCAACCGCGACTTTCGCAATTGCTTTCCACCGTGTTATCCCTTACATCCGCATACACATATTACATTTTTACCTTGCGCCATATCTCCCTCTCCCTCTTTCCAACCTCCTCCCTTAGACGCACTTCTCGTATTTATTACGGATGGCCGATAAGTTAATCATCGAGTTAATCGCCATAAGTTTAAGCAAAAACGTATGTACCTTAAGGTATTTTTTGTTGAATGTAAGAATTTAATACAGGAAAACTTCACGTAAACATCGAATTGTACTTTTACACACTTCCTAGGAATCCTAGAAAGACGCTTTTTTCCCGGAAAGTAAAACAGGTAATTTTCAGTTTGGCTGCGCGAATTGGCGCGCACAAAAATTGAAAAATATCGCGAAGCAACACTTAACGCTATCACTTACCTCGTCGTCCAATATCTCGTCCAGCAACTCCGCTACACCGCCGTCCGATGCCCTTTTGGCACGACGAGATAACGAGATGATCCTTCCGATTTCCTCGCAGTTTTCCGACGGAGATGATCCGGCTGCCGATGTCCGGCTTACGGCGACGCGAATCGCGGCTGCCTTCGCCCGTCCTCGTCCTCGTAGTCACACGGATCGACCGACACTGAACTCGACACTCCCGACGCTCCCCTCACGCGCGATACGCTCGTAAACGGCAACGACTTCGCACCGTGTCCGAGAAATACGAAAAATTATTTTACACAGACAATTACCATCGCGCGTTTATTGTTCGTCGAACGCTAGATTTAATACTCCGAAATCGTGTCGCTGCATATTTTCAAACGGATAGACTCGTGGAACGACGCGACGGCCAAACTTCGCGCCAATTACGGAATGGAAAGTTACGCACGTCAATTACCTTCGAAAAATAGTTCATCATCGCACGCTTATCATTGCTCCATTGTTCACACACATTCAGCACTGGATTCAACAGTAGCCGACATTCGTGTCCCGACATGCGCGCTATGTTTTTTTGAACGGACGAAGAACTCGAGACGACGCGCCGCCAACTTCGCGCCGATGCCCGAGCTGTTACGGAATGGAAAGTTACGCGCGTCAAATCAATCATCATCAAAGAACGGCTTTTATCATTGCGCGCACTTATATATTGTCCCATTTGTCCGTCCAAAACTAGATTCGACACTCCCGACATTCGCGCACATCACGCGTTTTCAAACATGTTAAATTCGCGGTACGACTCAGCGGCAACTTCATACCGACGCCCGAGCCGAGTACGGCGCATTACGCACACAGTAAAGTCTAAAAACTATTTTCGAGAAACAGCTTTTGCCATTACTCACTCATTGTCCCACTGTCCAGCATTGAACTCAACGTCTCCGGCATTCGCTTCGTGCACGTGAAACTTTTTGTCATCGACAGACGCGAAACGACTTGGCGGCACCCTCGCGTCGATCACTGTGACGAGGATCAATCTGAAAAGCAATTCTCGTCTTGATCGCATAATCGGCATAATAACATCTTCTAGTTCATATTATGTTCAATATTACCGATCCCGTACGTGGATACCCTTCTCCGACGCTCGGGGTGTACCTCTTGTACAAGCGCGACGCAATTTCTTGGTGCGAAAGCACGGAGAGAAACGCGGACGATCCGACGAGCACGGAGGAGCGCTTTCGAACGACATACGACATCAAGATGGCGGCTGCGCGAGCCGTGCCGCACCGGTTGCGCGGACCGCGGAGTACGAGGCCGCGCGCATGCGCGACTCCGATTGTGCGTCTGTCATCGTGTCGCGCCCCGCGCGGTCGTCGCGGCTGATCGCGGATTGTGGAACAAAGGAGCGCGCGGCGAGAGGAGTGGGTCGTGGACGTCGTGGTCGCAGGTCGTGTGTGTCGCGCGAGCCTCGCCAAGTCTCGCGAAATTAACGGAAATCGACCGGGGAAACGTACACGGATCGCGCGCCAGCATGAGCAAGCCGCCGTACAAGCTGAGCAACGTGCTGCTCGGCCACAGCGCTGACGTGAGAGCGGTGACGACCTTCCTCGACGGCACCGTCGTGTCCGTCTCCCGGGACAAGACGGCGCGTGTGTGGAAACCGACCGGGTTAGTAGAGTGCATACGTAGATCCTCCCACGGGAACTCCTAACCTCTCGATCTTTTCCCGATTTTCGATCCCTTTCAGCAGTTAAAAGAGAAAGAAACACGTTTCTCTGTGTACGCGAGGTTAGACGTACATAGACAGGATTTTAAACTGAATGTTGACGTTAAGAGTTACCTTTAATTGCGTTGAATTGTTGGGGATTATACCGTATAGTGATACACCGTGTTTAAAACATCTCACTGACGCTTGGAATTTTTGCAGGAGAGGCAACGAGTACGAGCAAACAGCGACGTTAACGGGCCATACTAACTTTGTCAATTCGGTGTGCGTTATAAATCCGTCGGAGAGAGATCCCAAGGGTTACATCATCACCGGGAGCAACGACAACACCATATGTGTCTATGTGGCGGATGAAACGGTGCCTGCGCATACATTAACGGCGCACCAGAATAATGTATGTAGTTTGAAGACCGGCAAGAAAGAGGGTACGTTTCTTTCGGGTTCCTGGGACCTCACTGCCAAGTTATGGGACGTGAGAGACTTGAGTAAACCACAGCTGAACCTTGCGGGTCACGCCGCCGCGGTATGGTGCGTAGCAGATTTATCGAACGGCAATATAATAAGTGGATCGGCGGACAAATTGGTAATAGTATGGTCGAGGGATGGTTCGGTGCAACACAAATTAACGGGACATACCGACTGCGTTCGGGATATAGTTGATATTAAAGAGGACGAGTTTCTGACTTGCGCAAACGACGCCACTATAAGGCACTGGAACGCCAAGCTTGGGACCTGTTTAGGCTCTTATTGTGGCCATGAGAATTACATTTATAGTATAGCAGCTATCCCGAATGGTACATATGTCTATTCGTCTGGAGAAGACAGGACTATTAGAATATGGTTTAATGCGGAACTGCAGCAAACCATCGTTCTACCGACGCAATCGATATGGAGCATTGCTTTGTTCTCGAATGGCGATATAGTTGCCGGAAGTTCTGACGGGGCCGTTAGGATATTCTCATGTGATTCCGAACGATACGCAAATGCGGAAACGTTGGAGGCATTTGAGAAAGAAGTAGCGAATACAACTCTGAATGCACAGCAGGTAATCGGAGACATCAACGTAAAGGAGTAAGTACTCTTTATTTTGAATAAAATAACCTTTTATTCATACGTTATATTTTTTTTTATTTTTACTTGTAATCAGTTGTAATAAATTTTTATGTACAGTTTGCCAGATGCAAGAGTTCTCCTACAGCCTGGCCAAAGAGATGGCCAAACAAAAATAGTAAACGAAGGGGATGCAGTTAGGGCATACAGTTGGTCGCAAAGCGAACAACGATGGATAAAAATTGGTGACGTGATGGGTGCGTCCGGCGGTACCGCGGCCACCTCCGGAAAACAACTTTACAATGGCATAGAATACGATTATGTCTTTTCAGTCGACATACAAGACGGTGTGCCACCTTTGAAACTTCCTTATAATAAGGGCCAAGATCCCTGGCATGTTGCACAACAGTTTCTTCATGACAATAATCTCAGTCAATTGTTTTTAGATCAGGTACAAATTTTGAAAAGTATTTAATTTTATAATGTCTAATTATAAATGTAATCTTATTTACTGCTATTAAAAAATCATTTATGAAATAGCAAATCTGAAAGGAGAATGAAATTTGTATATTTCAGGTTGCAAATTTCATAGTAAAGAATTCTGAGCCAGCCCCCATTTTAAATGCTGGATCGCAATACGTAGATCCTTTTACAGGAGAAAACCGATACGTTCCCGGATCAGGAACATCGTCTAGTACACCCGATGTTAGTGCGCAATCATCAACATTTAGTTCTTCCAACACACCTGCATCTCCCTCCTATATACCTCACTCGAGGTATTTAAAATTTGAACAGGCAAATTTAACTGCTATTTTGGGTAATTGAGACTTATTTAAGATGATTAGATACAATGGAAATGCAACATAATTTTGCATTATTCTTTGTCAGTAACGCTTTTATAAAATTAATTGCAGGAAAGTTACACGAGTTAAATTCTAAATTGGATACTAAACAAGAAAATGTATATAAAATACCAAAGGAGAAGGAGGATGCAATAAATGAACTTATGAGAAATTGTAATCAAGTGTCCGAGGAAGTTAGGACCAGCGCTATCGGCGCACTGAAGAGTCTTGTAGATTGGCCGAACGACACGGTGTTCCCAGTTCTCGATATAGCGAGACTCGCCATACTTCACAAAGAAGTAAACGATCAACTATGTACGGAGGAATTGCTACCAGTCATACGGAGGCACATAAAATCCGATGCATCTCGCTGCAATCAAATGCTCACCTTTCGTCTGATAGCCAATATGTTCCAGCATGAAAAGGGAGAAAAACTCGGTTTGGATTATAAGGATGAGATACTCAAGTCTCTGCTGGACCTACAGTCCTTTGGAGATAGACACAATCAGGTATGCCACACCAATTATTAAAATAATAATTAAAAATGAAAGAGAGATTTATACGAGGGCCTACTCGCATGAATAATTGATAAAATAATCGTTATAAATGCAACTCTCTAAATATTATATACTTTTATACTTTAGTATGAAGTAATATCTTCCTGCATGAAAAACCGGAAACGGTATAAGATTTGCAAAAGGATGAGCTTACAAATTGCGATATTATATTACAGGTTGCAATATCGACTTACGTATTAAATCTGATCGTAGCGCTAAGTAAATATAATGACGCACCTGGTAGAACGAGAGCTCTAAATGTATTATTTACTATATTGCCTAATTTGCGTGACCCCGAGGCAATATTCAGAGCTTTAGTTGGACTAGGAACGTTATTAGCTGCTACACTAGATCCCAATGATCGTAATGAATTAATTAACGCTGTGCGACAATCCGAGACTGCTTTGAGTGTTCTTAGAACTCTATCAGAAAGCGATCTCAATACGTCAAACAAACTGGTAAACTGTTCCAAACAGATTATCGATTTAATTCTCTAAGCAGTGGGATACGCTGCTTGTAAAATTATGAAAAAAAATAACTTTGCACGTGTATCTATGTTTTGCAGCTCGGTTGCTCAATCGTAAGAAATAAATACATTTTTACAATTAACATTCATCATTTACATATACTACGCCCCTCCATATAGAACATCCAAAAAAATATAGATTTATATAATAAAAATAAATAAGTATCTTATTACAACGGTTACACTATTTTACATTTGCGAAATATATAAAGATGTATCTATATAATTTTATATAGATATTATATGGTTTTTTTTAATTACACTATATTTTTGCAAGATTAATAAGCAGTACCTGTAAATATAGTTTCTATTTATCCAATATATACGCAATTTATTGGTTAAATTCATACAATTAAAGTTTTAAATTAATATCTTAACAATTTATTTATGCTCAATTATTCATTACAACGGATCAAGATAAAGTTATTCGACATACATATTGACTGTTTCGGGACTAAGATAAAATGATATGTGCTTTAGTGCTTTTACGTACTTTTTTAATTTCTTTTGTCGTAAAGCATACATAAATATTTCTTAGTAAACGAACATGTTGTCAAGAGATACATAATACATATTTTTATAATATATATCGATAACACAAAATTCGAAGGAATTATTTCTCCAAATTTTATTATCGATTTTACATCAGAAGTACAAAAATGAATTAATTAACGTGTTTGCAATATAGGAAAAAATTAAAACGACTGTTACACATTCAGATAATAGAAATTGAATTAATTATTACTATTACCATGGCAGATATAATATCTCAACGTAGAGAAATGTGTACAACGCATATCTATTTCGTTTCATATCGTCGAACAAATTTGGAAAGTAAGAGACAAAGTTACCTGCATGGAATGTAAATGACCTGCTTAAGTGACAATCGATTACTTACAGTTTAAGTAAGATAAGTTGTATTTCTAATGAAAATTAGTTAAAATATATATACAACGATGAATATAAAATAATAATTTATATAATATACACATATATTTGATTAAATTTCTCGGGCACACGCACCCAGTAAACATACAACAGACAACAGTGTAATAGTAGAATATTGTTATTACATTAACGTCAAATATATATATATATATGTATATACATATATATATTTCGATAGTTATATATCAATTTACTCCCGCAATAGCCACGAGTTATTAATTACCGCAACTGTTGCAGTTAATTATTACACCAAAAATAACATTCATTTGTATACACTCATATTAACTTCAATTATGCTCAATGAACGATACATATAGTAGTAGATGAAAGATAGTTACAGTGTCAGGCCATTTTGGCTCGGGAATGTGAATGCATTTCTTTTCTTTTATAAAAATAACTTTCAATATATATCTGAGATCTGTAAGATAATAGAAACAGTGCTGATTCATACAATTCAGAATCCAATTTAGCGCACGAGTTATTACTAGCAATGTATAACTAGATGCGTTTTCATACGAAAGCACAGGCCCAACGTCCTCGTGTAGAAAAGTATCTATGTAAAAAATCCGAAGTTGCTCTGATGCAAAAATGTAACGTGCAGGAACCATTATCTTTCAGATTTCTGTATGTAACAGTGACGACGGAGTCTGCTTGACAATAAGATCAATTTCCGATATTTGAAAGCGTTACTTTAATATTATAGTAACATTTATCTCAGGTAAAAAAAACAATTGTTAAAGCGAAATTAATAAAAAACTTTAATTTAAACATTTAAACATTACATATAAATATATCAAGAAATCAACTGTGACGAAACCAATGAGGAAATCAGAGTCCGCATAGGACTTCATATTGAAAGCTTTGGCCCATCAAGGGCTGTGATGTAACGAAACAAGAGATGTTGAGATTTTTATAAAATAAGATCTTTAAAAAAAATCGGAGCACCTTTCTACATACATTTTTAGTAGGTTAAATATACCTACTATTAATAATAGCATACTAATTTCAGTAATTTCAAAACCATATGCCTTCCGAATTGATAAAGAACAAGATTTTAAAGTAACGCCTTCATGCACCATTTCTGAGTAACTTGGACGCAAGTTCCTTTAACTCCGTTAAAACCAGTGACAAGCCTAGTTTTTCTTATGAGCAGGAGAGAGAGATTCGGAATGCCCTACAGAAATGCACTGATTCCTAAGATGTGTCCTCTCTTAAACTTAAGTTACTGGCATATGTACCTGAGGCGACGTGCATATACCTTTCGCGCATTTCGAAGGTCAGAATGCATTGAGGCAATTACCCGATGTAAGTTACTTTATAGTGTGTTGAAAAACTACATCGAAAATTACTCGTTACAAATGTCGAGTTTTACTTTTTACATAAACTATAGTTGACTACAGTTGAGTAGAAGCTCAGTGGCGGATTTAAGAATCAGTTGAACGGAACTTCGTCCTTTACTTGAGTCAGACTTTAAAAATGCTAGTTTCTGAAAGAAAATATCTGCGCTTTCTTAGTAGCTTACGCGAATATCACGAGTAAATTATCGTTTTTTTTTATCGATTTCGCGAAACTTTAAATTCGCCCCTGTGTGTATAGAACCTCCCTTAATTTTGTACCACAAAACTTAGCATACTAAGCGGTGATGTTTATCTTCGACTACTTTTAATTGCCGGGTGGGAACTCGTCGTTTAGAGATTACTTCGCGCATGAAATATCGCTTGCAGTAAAATAAACACAGCCTCATTAATTGAAGGATTTGGGGAAAGAAGTATTAAAATATATATATGTATATATATATATATATATATATATATGTTCTAGAGCTCTCTTGAGGTATGGCGGTATGCATTATTACCTCGCAAATACACAGTGCTTGAATCCGATATATCTCGCATACCGTTTACAATCATACACGCTAAAGGTTTCTCAAAACTTGGAAGCATAACATCAGAATGTACAATTACAATTGCGCGACTGTTGCGCGATGAGAAATTACGGGATCTCGTTTACAAAATACTTTCAATGTCCTTTGCTGCCACAACAATTCAGAAAAGAGCATTATAAACGTTGCTTCTTCTTTTTTTTTTTTTTACAGAAGGGCATTAACAGCCATATCGTTTACTCTTTCCCTAAGTCACAACACGACTGCATTATATTAGCGTGATTCGACGGCGTAACATAACGTGCCCAAATTTTCGTAAACGAAAATTTCAAGATAGACAGGCATCGTCGCTGCAGGAATATATCGAAGCATATTATTACTGAACGCGTATGCTGAAAAGCTAATCGTCTAACGAAGAGATAATTTCTTTTCTAATTGATATATATTTTTCTTTCTCAAGTATTAATCCCCTCATTCCTAAATTGTCTCTAAATTTTGGCAAAGGTATTCGTATATTTTCTTCTATACGTTGAGTATTAAACAAGTGTTGCGATACGCACGCGTATCCTTGGAAACTAATCCTTTTAAAACTCAATTTAATCAGAATTTAAATAATTTATATATCTTTAATAAACGTAGCTATACGTAGCTACACCAGGAATGAGGCTCGAAAGAAACGAAAAATTACGAAAGGGAAGTGTCGGCGCGGTAACTAACTTCGGATGCCTCTAAAATCTACATCTCGGCACTCCCCAAACGCGTCTGTATATTCCATTTCATCTGGAAATATACCGCGGCGGGGGCGGACTTCAGTGCTCGTCTCGCATATCAAAAATGATAAAGCGCATTATCATAACCTTCGATCAGGATTTCCCTGATAATGCGTACGACGGAGAGACCTAAAATTTGTATTGGGTACCCCCAAGTTCGTTTCATTCGGCCGGTGTGCTTGCCGCCCACCTGTCAAACTCGATTCCCGAGTCGGGACTGAGTCCCAGATCAATGGGACTCAGGAAGCTGGGCGCTGGACAATTGCAGGGCCCATTGGGTCGACATGCTCCAATGCACCTCTGGTCGTTACTTTTGTTTTCTCCCCCTCGGTCCCTCAACTCCTGCTCGAAGCTGTGCAACTGCTCCATAAAGTGAAAATTCGGTGAAACATTGGACTTTCTACTACGTACTAGGTTGAAAGCATCGTTCAGGCTGAGGCTGCACTTGTGCATGAGATAAGCCACGGTGATCGTGACAGATCGAGAAACTCCGGCCAAACAATGTACCAGCACTCCCTTATCTGAGTTCCGTGCCTCCTCTGAAAAATACGTGACACATCGCGATTTTAATCCTACAATCGTTAACTCGATCAATTATTACACTGACATTTAACATTTATTTGCCATATTTCACGCAATAAGCAAAATATAAGCTTATTTTATAATGCCTTGCCAAAGTGCGTAACGCGGATTTCTTGAATCAATTGATATAGGAAGATTGAAAAAATACAATATTTTAATATTAATTTTGTTGAAACATTGAGATGCAACATCATTATTTGAGAGCTATTATGCAGAGTGTCCTAGACCTGCCACCCGTTAATGGCAGATACCTGAGATCCTAATAGAATTTTCGTCTCAAAATGATCTCCGGTACCTGCCATACCTGATGACAAGTGGCACGGCAGGTCGTGAACGAAAATCCTAATACCAAAATGCCGAGGCTATAATAATAGTTTTTAAATGAGAAAACTTCTTTTTGAACACTTCTCATTTAAAAACTATTATAACCTCGGCATTTTGGTATTAGGATTTTCGTTTCAAAATGATCTCAGGTATCTGCCATTAACAGACCTGGGTAGGGCAGGTCTGGGACACCCTGTACAATGAAGATTATATGAATGGGAGATACTAATTAGCGATTACGTCAGCTACTATTCTTCGATATATTCAATGCTCATTACTTAGAAAATTATGATGGAAATGCTAAAGAAAACAATGCGTATCATGACGAATTCGTTTAAATGGCGCTAACAAAGGAAAGTCGGATTGCCAACATTGCAATGCGTCGGGACAGTCAAAAGTGCCAGACCGGCTCAATAGCAGTGCCAAACCTCGCCATTCAGGCTTAAGTATAGCTCTCGGCCTAACCGGACATCCGTTGTTTAATTGTCTAGTGCGGCTTGCCCGCCACGTGGGAAAGTTTCTATTTAGGCGAACCTATTTATAAGAATGCCCCTTTCAGAAGCTGCGCGGGGACCTTCTTAAACAGGAAATCCTGTTTAAGAAGCGGTCAGAACAAGATTTTGACGCGGAAAAAGCTCCGATGCGGTAAATAAAGTTCACATTATTCGCGCATTCTCATGTACGCATGTTAAAATAATATAGGACATGAAAAATGTTGTATCAAGAAAATCTTTCTTTGCTGATATATGACACACGAAATATTTTACTTGAATTCTAGATATTATATATCACTGTTATTAGCATAATTTTTATAGTGAAGCACGCATGTGGATAACGAAATATTCATTATATAAAATACCAATCAATAAGCTGAGAATTTTCTTTTTCGCGAGAAACGCTTGCTTTTTTTACGTTTCATGTAACGAGTTAAACAAATACACTACCTACAAAAATGCTTACAAAAAGCAATTTATTTTAAAAATAATTCTTACTCGAATTTACATAGTTTTTTCAATAAAAATGCTTCACATATCGGCATGCTGTCACTCACCTATAAATTGAATCGCCTGCGGGAAGAAACTAGCCAAGTTCTGACTCCAGTGATCGCTTATCGGTATCTGCATGTACTTTATTGAGCCGCCACTTTCAAATACGTTTGGCAAATCCGGTGTCACATTGAGTATGTACTGTATCCTGTGCCGCGCTAAAGACTCGCGATCCTCACTATTGGCCGCGTTACCGAGATACAAATGAGGTAAAATTTCCACCGGAAAATCTTTATCTTCCTCGGGACCTGTGGAATACGGAAACACGAATTCATTATTATTATTATTATTGTATTACATTTTTCTCTATCATCATATTCTATTTTTACATTATAGTATTATATTATTTATGTATTATATTGTTTTTTATTAATACAAATTATCGTTACATGATTCTATTTAACTACAGTAAGAATATATACACTAAATATCTGCTCACCAATTGAATCACACGTGCTGTCACTGTCAGAATCTGAATAAGATCTGGTTGGTGGAGCAGATATTCGAAGGGATCTAAGGCCCATTAATTCACCATCGTTATTGTCCTGACCTGGGTCACATTCATTAGTGGCTTGACTACCTTCGCACCACTCGGGATATTTATCTTTAAATGCTTCAAAACCACCTATAAATAAATATAATAAGGTAATAATAATTATTTGAGATCAAAATCTATTTCAGTGGGTCAAAAACTTTCTAACACGTATATTTGTAAAATTTAAGATATGTATATGATAATTTTATTCCACACGATAAACAAAGTATCAATATTTTCAAATTTCAATTCAATAACTTGCTAAAATTTTCAATAAACTCGTCATTAATCAATTGACTTGGAAATTAAATTTTGCATATAATAACATTCAGAAAATTTTAATAATTACACAAACACGTTCATAACTCTTCAACATTTGCATTTTCTTCAAATACTTATTAACAAGATTATGAAACAAAATTATAAAATAAGAAAGCAACATTTCTATTTTGCGTACAATGTACATGTATTAATACATTTGCAATCAGTAAATTTCTCATGTCAAAACAAAACGTTGAATGAATAGTTTTATCTAAAGCCTGATAAAGGCTGGCTATAGAATTAAGTGTCTGGCTCTACTGGAATGCCTCCCACATAAATCAATATTTCATTCACAACCAGTCTCTATGCTTTGACTGTTACTTCTGAAAGCCTTTCTATACCACACGTACCATTGCTGCCTGCGCACATACATATATGTGACAACAAAATCATGTGAATGTGCAGAGTTATAATTAGCAATTATCCTGTCCTGTTTAATAGTTAAATTTAGAAACATCTATTAAAATCACGCCATTAATTACACAAATTGGTTTCTAAAATATTGTCTCGTAAACATAATAATTTAGCAATAATTGGAATATTGATATTGGTTTGTTTGTTTGCAGGTCTCAAATTCACATTTACATTCAATTTATCATTCGGGAACAAAACAAACGGACGTATTCCAGCACTCCAAATACAAACACTTGACGTCTGATTAAAATGGCGTTTAAAATGTCAAACGTTTGAAATGTCAAATTATATCTACAATCCTAATGGGAATCGAATTATAATGGGATTACGTCATGGGGTAAAAATTGATCTCCCTTACCGATTAAAGCGGCAACGTGTCCACCGCTGCTCTTAAGTCTCCGGCTCAAAACTTGTAAGGTTTCACCCTGATGACCTGCATCCGTCGAGTCGCCGATTAGTACAAACGTCCCCCTTCTGTTCTCGTCCCCGCACAGAAACATCTCCACTCTGTTTCTCAGATCTAAGCACCGTATCGTGGACAAGAGGTCCACTTTACCAGCAGCCAATCTTCGCAGCATGATACTGGGTATGGTCAGAGGTACCGAGCCTCTTATGTGGGCATCGGAGAAGTCGGAGTGTGCCCTACAGTCCAGAATAAGAAGCTTGTTGGGACCATCCTGCGATCTCAATTCACCGAACAACCATTCCGGACCGAGAAGGTCCTCTTCCATTGCGCTATCAGGCATCTCGAGTCTCTTTTGTACCCTCGCGCGCACCGTTATGTTTCGTGGTCCTTTGCGTCCTCTCCGGGACAAACGCCACTTGTAATCGCTGTTCACGCAAAAACAGCTTCCGAATCTAAACGTTGCGTTCAGGTCACTGTTTATGTTTCTCCCATAAATAGAGAGATATTCTTGAGCCTCTGCACCATCGAAGTGCCGTCATCGCTGGACGCGGCGCCTTCGACGAACGATCGACGATAAACGGCAAAACTGTGTCGGAGCGTCGCGTCGTTACTCCGTCAAGACGATTCTCGCTCGTTGTCACTTGATAAGCCTCCGGGATAACGGGGTAACTAACTAGCACGATACCACCGAGTCCACGTCCACGGTGCAACACGCCCGCGTGTCAGAATTATATCGTCCGCCGCCCGTTCGGAGCCGAGTGAGTCGTCAGCCCTGTCGCACGTTCTCCAACAGAAGCGAGTGAACGAACCGAGAATGTTGTCCGTGGCGAGGTGCGTGCACAGGCACACACACGCGCGTCTCCCTAGGCGCGTCTCCCGCGATTAATATTTAACTGGATATGATATAACTGGATACGAAAATGGCACTTGGAGTTGAGTGGCGGATATACGCGTTCCCCGGACGCCTCATCCGGAGAACGATCGCGCGCGACGTTCGCCCGTCGACGGCACGAATGACCGACGGGTTCTCAGGTTCTCACGCGTTGCCATCATTTCCTGCGATACTACGCCGCGCTGCGTATGTTACTCCGCCTTCTCCTCTCGCTTCTCTGCCGTCGCTGCCGCCGCCACCACCACTATCACCAGCACCACCACCAGCACCAGCACCACCACCACCGTCGCCGTCGCCGTCGCTGCCGCAGCCGCCACTGTAGCCGCCGTCGTCGTCGCTGCCACCGTTACCGCCGCCAGCTCGTCCCGGTTATCGATCTCCTCGTGAATCAAGACGACGCGACCAATTAACGGCACGGCTGCTGCAAAACGTTTACGCGCCCCGTGCGGCGGCAGATGCATGTGCATGTCCGTCCGTACGCGACCGCCGCGCTCGCTCCTCACTGCTCCTCACTCTATCTCGCGCTCACCGACCCTCGGGCGCTCGCGCGCGAGCTCGCCTCGTCGCCCGCCCCGCGGGGCCGCGCGCGGGCACCGATCGTTCCATCCTTGTCGCGCGTTCATTCGCGCGCGCACCGCGAACCGCCGCGCCGCCGCACCGCGCTTTCGCCCCCACCTTCAGAGCGTAGGCCCGCCGTCAGCCGTCACGCACACCGCGCACACGCTGGACCGCGTACGCGCTCACGCTCCCGCGACCACCGTACCGCGTTTCCGTATCCGTCCGATCGGATCGGATCGGATCGGCCACCAACTGCTACTACTCCGACCTCCGGCGTGTCGACGACCGTCTCCTCCCTCCCGCTCTCTCACCCGAGTCCCTCCAGCATCGCCTCCGAGATCCGGAATTCCTCGGCCGAAGGGACGCCGGAGCCTTCGCAACGATCTGAAGTATGTCACGAATCTCTTCTACCTGCCTGCCTTCTTCCCGCGCTCTTCCTCTCTCTCACTCTCTCTACTTGTTTCGTCTTCTCCTTTCTCTCTCTCTTTCGTTTCCTCAGGTCCTCCTATTGTTTTCACTGATTCGACTTTTGTCCTATCGCGCTCACTCGTCGCAGGCCACACCTTACGAACGTCCGTTCGTCGAAGAATGGAGCGACGGCGCTCGGTACGTCGCGCGCAGGGGTGAGACGCGGCCGGCGCGCGCGACGCGATTCGCCGGCGGTCACGTGAGCCCGCGCGGCCGACCAATCGCCGCGCGGGCTGACGTCAGTTCATTGACAAAAGATGTTTCCATTAACGAGGCGTGGGTAGAGGCTGGGTCGGGGGTCGGTGCTGACTGAAGTCGCCGTTGAAGCGGCTCGGAGTGCATGGCTTCGCGGCGATGAAGGGGAATGGCGGCGGCAACGGCGGCGGAATGGGCCACCGCACGTTCTACACGCGCGCGTTCTCTCACGCGTGCGTGGGCGCGTATTATCACAACCCGCGTAAGGAGGGGAGAAGCAGAGAGAGAGAGAGAGAGAAAGAGAGAAGATATACACCGCTGACATGCACGCACACTGGCGTGCACGTGCTGCTCCGCCAACAGGGCCGAACATCGACGATCCCGTCACCCCACGTTAGTTAGGTTAGTTCCTTCTCGATCCTACTCTATACCCTTCCGTCTCTCTCTCGCGATCGAATCAATATCACCACTTTCCTCCCGTTATCTATTTACCGCATATATACCGCGTGTATGCATGTCTATATAATGAACTCTTCCGTCACGCTCTGTGTCGAACGTGTCTACTCTTGTCGCAACGTATATATATATATATATCCGGATCACCGATATTATCCGGCGTTCAATGATTTCCGACCTCGTCGCGGATACTGGGTCTATTTGTAAATGGACATAATTATCGTCGCGGCGTCTGTCCGCGATCGATAAGTCACGATGTCGCGTGTTACGCGATGGTGTAATTCGCCCGTAGTATAAATCTAAATCCGTGCAGCGCGCGTAGTACGACGAGGTACACTAATGATTTCCCGGAATCCCGGATATACATATATACGACGAGAAACAATGACCTCTCCGTCTCGCGGGATCAATCCCGACTTCATGGAAGCGCACAATAGGCTTCTAATATAAACCCGTGCTCCAATATCGGGTGTAGATCTCAAAGGAGCCAGAATTACATTTACAATGATTGTAGAAATTATATAAAGCGACTAGCGCGCACAGGAATAGAAGTTCAGAATAACCTAGGAAAGAAGAGAGAAAGATTCTCGTTCAGATTGGAAAGAAATTTTCAAAATAGAAATAATTATCCTATTATCACTTGAAACTTAAGTGAACATGGTATTAGCCTGTGTATTTATAGAAAAGGGTAAAAAAAAGATATGTTAAAAGATTTAGAAGTAAAGTGTAGACTATAAAAGTATAGATATAAAAATAAGATTCAATAGTAAAGTACAAAAAATATATTAATAATTGTAACATTCATAATATCGAATAATACTAGGAAGCTTGACTTTATAAACAATCTATTAATAGAAGCTGCAACGCCGTATTGAATTATTAATTGAAATGTATTACATTGTATTGCAATATATTACCAGGAATCTATTATTGTTGATAGAGACAAACATCACAAATTGTCAATAGGGCAAAAAGTTCACATGAATAACCAGTTTTATTCTCAACTTTTGTTCTCCATCAGTTATATACAGGATGTTTTAATTTGATACACGTGCGAAAACTGAAATTATTTATCTTTAAGAATTACCCAGTGTGAACATGAATGATTATAATCGATTGCGAGAGAAAGGAATTCTAATTAATTACAGCTTGGAAACGCGAATGTGTGTAACAAAATTTTAATCTCTAGGCAATTTTATGCGAGCTTTGACTCTTGACTCATAGCATACGTAGCAAAACGTTGAAAATTATGATCTTCAGAATCTCCGTGGGTGGATAGGTCCAATTAAAAATCGACAAAGGAAAGACTGATTTCAATCTTGAATGAATTTTTGCCAAATCCGCCTACGTTGTCGGGTGCTCCCGTACACCGTTATAGATATTACGATTGCAGTTGCGAAAGGGTTTGAAGCGAAATACGCGCGGGAGGATGGCAAAATATGCCATCGAGTGATACGGCCTTGGCCCTTGCCGTTTACACCAAGTCCCCGTCCTCGGCCTCGCCCGTTCATCGCTGCTCGGCTCAGCTCGGCTCGGCTCGCTCGTTTGTTCTCTTTCACCCTGATGGCAGGAGGGGACGACAGCCTATCAGACGACTGTGCCAGGCGTAGGTCGGCATTCCATTCATTTGGACGGCTGTCGTTGAAGATTTTCGCGTTCGATCACACGGCCGCCGCTTTAATCGCGCTTAAGCGCGCGCGCGCGCTCTCTCTCTCTCTCTGCCTCGCGAGGGTGAAGGACAGGTTGAGGGTGGGAAATAGGACAGAGAGCGAGAACGATGCGGGACACGAGAAAGGGGGTAAACAGAGGGGAATGGGAAAGGACCGCGGGCGTCTGTGACCTTCCGCGGGTATCCGGACGCGTGCCGACGATGTGGATTCGATCCGCGTGGGTGCCGGGTAAGGTGAGCACCCGACCGTCCTTCCACTCGCGCGCGCGCACCCCTCTCACCCTAACGCTCAATAACGCTCGGATAGTTAGCGGAGGCTTTAACATTAAAGCAGAAGAAGGAAACTGCACTTGCAGTCGAGAAAGCTCGAATCCGTTGATTCGCTTGATATCGATTTCCGGCGTGATCGGCTCGCCGAGGGTGACTCATCGAGTCTGCATGAAGAAGGAACGGAAGGGGCGACGGGATAGAAACATGAGATGTGTGCAACTTTTTCTTAAAGAGAAAAAAGTAAAGGATCTTCGATATAAATTATAAATTTATATAAATTGTTTCTGTCACACCAGTAATTTGCAACTAAACATAACGGATCTAATTTACAAAATGTTGTCTAGTTAAAGACAGTGAATATTTCATATTTTTGCCCTCTCTCTCTTTTTTATCCACGTAATCAAAACCTTACAGTTTTTTTTTTTTTTTATTTAAAGGCGCGTATATAAAAGAGACATAAAACATATAAATATTAATTCCGCTTTGTGCAGAATTTCACTTTTCAATTTTAGTCTCGTAGAACTATCTGTCAGAGATGCTGTATGACACACGACATGACGCGACGCACTGAAATTCCGCTATATCAGGCACTATAAACAGAATTTATATCTAGACATGAATCTAGCACGGTGGAAATGTCAAATATCGGGAAACGTGAATGTTGTACAAACTAGTACCTAGGTATACAAACGCTTGTGCATCTAATAATGTTTTCTCGTATATAATAATGTTCAGAGCGCGTTTTGATGCGTCACAATGAAACGCGTGGGAGCAGCGCGGGAAGAATCCTAGATGGAAATAACAGTGCAACATGGCTAATTGTGAGACAAACGTAGACGATTATTGTCCGTCGTTGGCGTATATTTCCTACGCCAGCTGTTGCGAAACTCGCAATTAAAAATTAACGGAAGAGATCGGACGTGGGCGGGTCGCCTCTATTGGTACGCGGCGAAAGGTCTTGCACGATGAATTAGTAACGAATCTCATTGGAGAGTAGCGATGCAAAATTCATGATTCGCTCGCTCGAATGCCTCTAAAGATGATTCCGGGGAAATTATGTTATTTGATTACACAATGTAATTTATATATTCCTTGCTGCGCCGGATTTAACTTGTGCCATGCGCGTCCGCGACGTCGACGTCGACGGCGCGTTCTAAGGACGCGGAGGAGTCGCTGGTGGGACGACAAAATCCTGCTTTGCTGACTGGATTGTTTTTACATTAATATTTTCCATTAAAACGAACTGAAGAATTTTATTAAATATTATAGCCACGTCACGGGAAACGCCTACGCGCATTAATCCCGGCAATGTATCAGAAAAACGGTGCTTCCAACGGTAGTATATTTAGCGCATTTTTACGCATTGATTTTTTTTTTTTTTTTTTTTAATCGAGTATAACGAGGCATCGTAGAGAAGTTGTTCAAAAAGACGTTAAGTGTCAAGATAACAAAGTGAAAAGATAGTATCGTAAAAATCGTACGCAGCTTGCTTTATCTCTCTCTCTATCCATGGTTATGAACATAATTAATATCCAATTGTAATCTCTAAATAATTTTATATTATCGGCGGAGATAATTCTTATCGTGGGGAATTTGGGGCTCGACAAGAAACGAGGTTTTTCTTTTGATAACTAC